GTCTCGAACTTGCAACCATCCTCCTGCCTCAGCCTCCCGAGTGCTAGGATTACAGGTGCGCCACCATGCCTGGCAAGAGAGATTTCAAAATTGGCCTGATCATGGATCCTAGATTAAAGAGTTAGATATAGCTTGAAAATTAGAATTCAAGGTCTACTTCGCAGTTCCTGATTCACACACAAAAATCAATATTTGCCAGCAAGTCTGGTGGTCTCGGTGTGCCATAGCAATCAGCACAAATGCACAGTTACCCATGGACTTTGCTTGCAGCCTGGTGGGGAAGATGCCCAAGCACAGTAACAGAGTGATATGTCCTTTGATGGGGCAGAGAGGGTGCCCAGAATGGCACTGACTTAGTCTTCACTGAAGGAAATGGTACGTTTCCTTATTGCCATGCTTAGATACAAATAATGGATTTTGTTTTCCCACCCGCACCCTCTCCACTATATAAATAATGACTTCGCAATTAGGAATCTTATATTTCAGGAGGTATCATAGGTGGTCCACGGTTATATGGTCACTCAAAGATGCCATCAGAAATTTTGCTCATCCATAACATGAAGCTCCTGTCCTCATGGTTACAAAATGGCCCTTAAAATTCCAGGAACCAACTCAACATTCCAAGCAGGAGCAAGAGCAGGGACAGATGGTAAAGTGCCAGAGGAAGCTGTAAGATATTTTCCAGAATTTCAACATTGTCTTTATATCTTTCTAGCTCATGTCCTGAGTCTACTCTGGATACAGAAGTGGTGAGTTATGGAGCTTTTGGGGTCTAGACTTGACAATTATTAATCAAGAGGAAAGACGAGTGGCTCCTGGTGAGACAATTATGATTCCTTCAGGGGTAAAAATAAACAAAAGAAGTGAGCACCAAATTGCGTTTTGCTATTGCCCAGTGGTTCCTTTCATACCTCTGAACCAAGTCTCACCCTGGCTGTGGGGGACCATAAGGTTGGAGCAGGTAAAAGAGACCCACCGAAGCCTGAAAATCATTTCCTCCCTTTCCAATCATTCCAGGAAGAATCACCTTCAAACATGCTAGGAATGTGCCCTGGATGTCAACACATGACTGTGACACAGACCAAAGAGACCCCAACCCAGATAAGTCGCATATAGTAAAGAAGTCAGATAACACCGCCATTCCCAGTGGAAACATCTCAGTGTTTTTCACACTATATTTGCTCCTCCATGGCAACTGTTGGAAACCAACTGGCCGATTCCATTGTGCAGATAAGGAAATGGAGGCCAGAAAGAGTGAAACTTGTGCAATTCATACTGCTGGTTAAAGAAAAAGACTAGACCAAGACCTGCGCCTTCTGCATCTGAGTCTCTGAGTCACATCTCGCCCAGCCCCTACTCCGTGTGGATACCCGAGTGTGACTGCACAGTGCAGGGGGAGCCGAAAGCCTTGCTGCAGTCAGAAGCAGCACCGGAAAAGGAGAGGGTGCTCTGGTCTCCAGCATTAGAGTAGCCACAAATGGTCTCAACTAAGAGTCAGAGTAGATCGCTTGTATCTCTTTCTTTTTTCTTTTTAAGAAAGAAAAAAAAAACCAGTAAAATAAAAGTTCAAAGCAGGTCAGGAGGGCAGCAACAATAATGAATACATTGCAAATTGTTATCTTTGTACAGAGTACAAGACATAGGCAAGAAATATTGTCCAGACAATGTTAGCACAAACCTTTCTGTTCAATGAACTAAGAGAACTAGCTGTAAAACTATCATTATATATATATCCTTTCCTTTCCTTCCTATGTCTTTTCTCTCATCCTAGTTTCTCTTTTCTTCTGAATAGTTTCCTCTCCATTCCCAACATCTAGTGTGCATTTTGGATCATATCTACTTGTTTAGCTTCTCACATTCGTGAGACAATACAGCGTTTACACATGTGGGTCTGATTTATTTCACTTATGAGTGTGCTCTTTAGTTGCATCCATTTACCTATAAAAGTCTCTAGTTTATGCTTCTTTATGGCTGAATGGTACTCCATTATATATATATTAAAAAAACCACATCATTTTTTACCCATTCTTCATTTGATGGACATTTGGGTTGTTTCCAAGATTTAGCTATTTCAAACTGTGTTGCTATAAACATGGGTGCACATATATAGCTGTGGTATACTTTTAATTCTTCTGGGAATTTACCCAGAAGAAGAATAGCTGGGTCAAATGGGACCTCTAATCCTAGTTTTGTGAGGAATCTCCACACTGATTTCCACAGTGGTTGCACCAACCTACATTACCACCAGCAGCGGAGAAGGGCTCCTTTTCCCCTACAGCCCCGCCAGCATTTGCTATTGGCCGATTTCTTGATGGCAGTCGTTCTTGCTGGGGTGAGATGGAATCTCAGTGTTGTTTTAATTTGCATTTCTCAAATGACCTATGATGTTGAACACTTTTTCATGTATTTACTTGCCATTTGTATTTCTTCATCTGAAAAGTGTGTATTCATCTCAGATGCCTATTATTGGATTGCGTCTTTGAATTTTGGAGGCCTGATATTTTTCAATTCTTTATGTTTTAAATAGAAGTCTTTGTCTTTGTCCAGCACCATTTATGAAAGAGACTATCTTTCCTCCAGTGAACCTGCTTGGTTCCTTTGTCAATGATAAAGTGGTTGAGTGTGTTTGAGGTTGATAGCTTTTATTTCTTGCAAGGGGAAATGGTGATAGTTTTTCCCTTCATTAGGGCCTTGAGAAATGAGTTCCATCCTTGACTTACTAGGACAGCAACTCCCCGGACAGTTCTCTTTCTTTCCTTAATCAGTCATCATGGTTCCCTCCCTTCATGTGGGGCTTTAGATGACTGGCCTTGTGATAATCCCTTCTTGCTCTCCTTTTTTTCTTTTTTCTTGAGATGGGATCTTGATATACTGCCTGTACTGGCCTCAAACTTGCAATCTTCCTGCCTCAGCCTCAGCACCCCATGCCTAGCCCTCCTTTCTTGCTCTTAATTCTTGCTGGACCTTCCTGCAAGAATAGTGTCTTGGCTCAGGGCTGGGTTTTCATGTAATCTCTGGACCACACTGGGTGGGAGAGACCCTGGCTTGGCCTTCTAGCACTTTAACTTATCCTTCATTCTTTATGAGCTGTGGCTTTTGCAGGGTTTCCCTCTCCTCTGCTGCCCAGTCTTGGGAAGCCATGGTCTTAATGTCTGATGCTGAAAGGCATTTCCTTGTTTCCCTCACAGACAGTGTCAGGGCACAGACTCGGGCACGGGGTTGGAACTTCATGCTGCACTGTGACTTTTTACCACTGTGCCAGCTGCCTGGAATGTCCTTCCTGCCCGTCTTCCTGTGGGGGTCTAAATAGGTCTTCGGACACAAAGCAACTTTATCTCCTTCAGCAGATCTTCCTGCTTCTGGCCCCCTCCACCACCATAGCCTCATACTTACTGGAGGACAGAGGAGCTGGATGATTCTTCCACAGCCCCAGGACTCAGGTCCTGGCTCCAAAGTAAGTATCTATGGATGCACCTTTCACCTCCTCCCTCAACTGAGAGATTCTTTCATTCTCATAGTTCCTGGTTCTTGGTAGGCTCTCAGTACCTACTGGGTAAATCAACGATGCACTCTGGTACAAGACACTGTGGAGGTAAATCAACGATGCACTCTGGTACAAGACACTGTGGAGGCATTTGAGGAAAGCTGTTATCATATTCTTGAGGTTCCTTATGCTGAAGTATCTGCTAAAAGTGATGATCGAAAAATATGGTGAATATTTAAAAATTTTTTAAAAATTTGTTACAGTAAAAGACATATTGTCATTAATCCCCTCCAGAATACTCCCCTTTGCTTTAAACACCCTTATCCTGTCATTCCTGACATTTTCCAAAGCAGTTCTGGTAGTCCTCTTTTGTGTGTGTCTTTATAAGGTGTGATAAAAAGTACAATGAACGCTGCTGCCGAGTGCCACGCAACAGAAAGGCAGACTCATAAAGACGTCATATGTCCTCGTCCACGTTATTCACTGGATCTGGCACTGTGCAACTTCTGGTTTCTCTTGAAAGTCAAGCTGGCAATGAAAGATAAACGTTTTGATTCAATTCAGGACATTGAGACGGCCATGACAGTGCAGCTAAAGACATTCGAGAAAGAGGACTTCCAGAAATGTTCCGGAAATGGCAAGAATGATGGGATAATTGTGTTTGAAGTGAGGGGGAGGATTCTGAAGGAGATTCATGGCAATATGGCTTTCACTGTAATAATTTTTTAAAAATTTAAGCATGCACCCATGTTTTGATCACATCTGGAAGTAACAGCTTGTGTTTGTTGAACACCTATTCTGTGCCAGGCACGATCACAGTCTCACCGCACACTGAATCCTCATAACAACTCCACGAAGTAGGTGCTCTTTCCATTTTGCTCATAAGAAAACAGAGACACGGAAATGTTAATGAACTTGTCTCAGGTCCCACGGTTAGGTTGTGTGAGAGGCATTTCAACCTCCAAGTGTAAGCTATTAATCAAATGTCGTGCATTTTGTGTCTTTACTGCCAGCTCTCCACCCTCCCAGCCACAAAGGAGCCCATAGCATGGGCATGACATCCTCATGTGGATCAATTAGGCAAAAAGGCAAGACAGAGCCTGCCCCAACCCTCCACATGTAATTATCATCTGTGTGTGAATGTACGGAGTGAAAGGCGGGGGAAGACGTGATGAATGCTGGGCTGGAGGGAGGTGTAGGAAAGATTTCTATTAAAAAAACTGTCTCACCCAGCCTGAGGGGTGGTGGCACAGGAGAAACACCTGTGGGTAATGGGAGAGTGGGGACAGAGCAGACAGAGGTGGTGCGGATAACCCATTTCAGGTTTCTTCTAATGTTAGTGTGTGCCCGGCTGAAGTGAGTGCTCAGGTGTCTCCCAAGACAATATCAGGAGTTAGCCACCATTTCAGGACTGCTCAGCAAGGAAACCACTTGGAGCCTGTGGCTGCAGTTAAATTGGGGACCAGTTGTCCCTGAGAGCAGCACTCTCATCTGAGAAATGTGGGAAATCATCAGCCATCTTAGCAAAATGGGGCAGGGAGCAGTGGATGGGAGGAGGCCAGAAGCCAAGGTGAGAAGGTGGCTACCAGCTTCCAGACCACATAGAGAGAAAGGGAACTCCTGTTTATCAGTCATGGGTTGACTGAGAGCGGTGCTTAAGAAGACACTACTTGGCTTTGAGAACCAGGTGTTTTTTTTTTTTTTTTTTTTTTTTATCTCTTCCCTCAAAAGATCAAGGAAATAGAAATTCTTTAAGTAAGTCTTGTCCCCAGGTGCTGCTATGCTAGAATTCATTCAGTAGGGAGAGATGTGGAAACTTTATCTCTTTCTCTTCTTCCAAGATGAGTTTACATAGGTATTGAATTTGACAAGTCACTAAAAATTATTTGAATTCCTAAAAAACAATATAGACACCCCCAAATGAAAAATAGAACTTTCATATTATCCAGCAATCCTACTACTGGACATATTCTTTACTGTATTATAATTGTGTATCTATGTGAATAAGTAAAACCATTGTAAAGTGAATTTTTAAAGTCCCTAAAGGATGTGAAATCTGTACGTTGAAGAGTCACTCACATGCCCGTGTTCAGTATTACAATAACCAAGGTGTAGAATCAAGTTAAGTGTCTATCAGTGGATGGATGGATAAACAAAATATCACGATACATACAATGGCATATAACTCCACCTTAAAAAAAGAAATATTTTCATTTGCAAAAATATGGATAAGCATTACATTAAATGAAATAAATCAATAAACCAGGCACAGAAACACCAGTACCTCATGCTCTCCCTTATAAGTGGAATCTAAAAACCCTGAACTCACCTGATGGAGATGCATTGGATATTGCCAACAAAATTGGGATTATATAAATGGAGTCCAGCTGCCCAATTCTAAATATACATTTTCCCCACTATGATAACAAAAAGTTCAGCTTTGCAGAAAGTAAAATGGTGGTTACTTGAGACTGCAGGCTGAAAGTACTAGAGAGACAGTCAACCAACACACATTTCAGTTAGAAGGAATAAGTACAGGGGATCTATTTTACATGGTGACTACTGTTAATAACAATATACCACATGCTTGAGAACTGCTGAGACTAGACTTTAACAGTTCTCATCACACACAGCAAAAGTACGTGAGGTAAGGCATGTGCTAAATAGCTTAACTCAGCTATTTCATAGTATATATGTTGTGCACTAGAAATAGGTACGATTTTTACTTGTCAGTTCAAAAAGCATTCCAAATCTTTCTATCAGTTGCATCTCCCAGTAGGTCTATGGAATATGCAGGGCCATATAATGTATTTATTTAAATAACCAAAATGATTTTGCTGACTTGAGATGGAACCCACTCTGGCTATGAAACTGGACAACCCCTTCACCCTCCCTACGCCTCATCTTTCTTTGCCCATCAATAGAGCAGTGACAGTATTTAACCTCAAAAAAAGGCTGTGATTAAATGTTACTGATGGAAGTGACCGGAACAATGTCTAGCACACAACAAGTGATATGTCTACATTAGATCAGCTATTACCATTACCCATCTTCTAAGAGGGAGGGAAATTGAGGTTTAGGAGATGAAATGATGTGCCTCAGGTCACACAACCAGTTGGTGGTAGAAAGATGATCTGATCTCCTGAACTTGATCTTCCAACTTTAAGTTTGATGATCACAGTGTGGAGGGAGCCTCCTCCTTGCTTACCTTCCCAGAGCAGTGGTAGTTTTTGTCAAGACATTTTCTTATGGATAAGACAAAATGATACCTGGAAGAGAGGACTTGGAGAACAGTGATAAGGACCTAGGAAAAGGAAAAGTTATTTTTGTGAACGTTCTACCATGTGCCAAACCATTCAGACCAGGGGTCAGCAAATGAGTCAGATGTTGTATATCTTAATGGTGTGGGCCATCTGATCTCCATAGTAACTACTCAGCCTGTTAATCTAGCACCAGAGCAGCCATAGATGATATTGTATATAACAAATAAGCATGGCTATTTTCCAGTAAAACTTTATTACAGACTCCACAATTTGAATTAGATGAAATTATATTTAATGCATTGTAAAGTAGTCACCTTCTCCTGATTTTCTTCAACCATTTTAGAATGCAAAATTCAAGGCTGGGCATGTGACTAGAGTGCTTGCCTGGCATGCATGAGTCCTTAGGTTTTTTCTTTCTTTGGTACCAGGAATCTAACTCATGACCTCGCACTTGCTAGGCAGGCACTATGCTGCTTATATTCCCTGCCTGAGTCCTTATATTCCCCGTCTGAGTGCTAAGGTTTGATCCTTAGCACCGTACACACATATATACCATGCTTAGCTTGAGGAGTGTTCAAAAAGCAAGCAGCAACCCAGATACCTTGTGGCTGAATTGTGCTGATCCGTGAGCTGATTGTGTGATTCATTTAATCATGCCCGCCCTGCTGAGACTTATTTTACAAGGCCGGGGGAAACTGAGGCTCAGGCAGTTCTCATTGGCACGAGAACACACACTAGTGAGAAGCAGAGCTAGGACTCAGTTCCTCAGCCCATCTGCCCTTGGATGTGGGAAGAGGTGAAGAAGTTTGTGACCCACTGTTATGGGACAGGAGAAGCTTCCCCTTCCATGTATAATGATGGCATTTCCTATAAGGGACCTTCAGGGAAGCAGTATCAACAAGCTAGCATTTGGGACATGTTGCTCCAGGAAACAAATCCCCACTACAGCATGGGCAGGCACATAGTCACAATCTGGTATGTGCCCGGTATGGGGCAATGGTTCTATCTAAACACCCTCTGAGCGCTGTGGCACTGATGACAAGACACACCATTCCCTAGTATGTTAGTCAGTTTCCTGTTACTGTTACAACAGAGATAACTGACTTACAAACAGAAAGGGTTAGCCAGGCGAGGTGACACACACCTGTAATCCCAGCATTTAGGAGGCTGAGGCAGACAGATTGGAGATTCAAGGCCAGCTTGAGCTGTGTAATGAGACCTTGTCAGAGAAAGACAGAGGGAGGGAAGGAGAGGTTTATTTTGGTTCAGTTCTGGAGGGTTTGGTCAGGGTTAGATGGACTAATTGCTTTCAGGCTCTTTGAGTGTGGAGGAGATGACACATCTCAGCAGGGATGCATGCTAGTGGAAACCTTTCACCAACTACCTGGGACACACAAAAAGAGGAAGGGAAAGAGTGCGGGGTCGCACTATCCCCTCTGAAGACACACTCCCCGTAGACAAAAGACCTCCCACTAGATTCATCTCTAAGTTTCCATCGCTTCTCCATAGCACCTTATTTGAGAGTAAGCCTTTACCACATGGGCCTCTGGGGGCCCTTTCAGACCCAAACTCTAGCACCCAGACTAGAGTCAGCAAGAAGGCTGGGAGGTTCCCACACGGCAGCTAGCTCTTGGAAGATAACCCAGTACAGAGGGTTGGTCTCAAGGGTTCTGGCAGCACACTGGGCAAGTGGGAGCGAAATGTCAGGTGTGCATGTCTGAAAGATCACACTGGACTGTGAGGTTTCCTGGAGGGTGTGACCGAGTCTGGGAGATTTCTTAAGAAGGCCATCTGGGCTTTTCTCTCTCTTCCCCACATCCCACCTCACAGGCTTGGTTGCTTCTGCCTCCAACTGCCAGACACCTTGTCAGCTGAGCTGGTGGTGAGTCCGGGGTCTGGTGACCCAGGAGTGCACTGGGCTGGAGCCGTTGCTCCCAGGCCGCGGCAGAACTGCAGCGTGGCTGCCGCCTCAGGTCTCAGCTTGCTCGGGCCTCACCAGAAAGGAAACCACCTGCCTTGTGCAATGGGCAAACCTGTCCTGGGGTGTGTGGCAAGCCAAGCTTGTCAGGGCGAGGGCGACGGCGGCCCCGGCACTTGCCTATTTATTTTGTATTCTTTTCAAATGGTTGTTTTAAAATTGTGATTTCTGACTTGAACAATCTCAAAGTAGAAACTTTAGAAAATGTGGGTAACTGAAAAGAAGAAAAACAACGGGCCTCCCCCACTCCCAATATTCCTGCCTCCCTAGAAAAACTTTTTCTTTTTCATCCAGTCTGTTTCTGGACACGGTGCTCCTTATCCAGAGGGAGCCGGAAGATAAATTCCGCTTGGGGAATTTGCTTCTTTGTCATTTCACACCACAGGGCGAACATCCGTCCATGTCAAAGTATACTTTTCATTGCTGTCATTTTAACTCTCGCTGTTTCTGGCAGGTCTTCCTTCGGAGGTGTGGGCACACGAAGCGGCCTGCTGTGTGCTGGGGTCACAGCCCCGTGTGGATCAGGAGGTTCAGCCTGTTTTAGGAAACAGGGCTGGGACAGGCTATGCGGTTTTGCACAACCCAAAAAAGCCCCAGGCTCACTCTTTGTGTCCAGGTGTGCCTGCCCCAGCCCTGCCTGACTCACAGTGCCCTCCTAGGGTAGTCATTTCATCCCTCTGGGCCTCAGTTTCTTCACCTATAAAACGGGATGCTTGGGCCAAAGGCTTTGCCAGCTCTAATGTTCCATGACTAAATTCGTGTAGGCTCACAGGCTGATTCCAGAAGCTTCTGGGAGCACTGGCTGTGGAGAGGAAGTTGTTTCTCCCAGTGAGTAAGCCTGCTATGGCTCAAAGCAGGCCAAGGGGCGAGGGCTCTTAGCCTGAAAGTCTGAAAATCCCTCTGGGTAGCCAGTGCCCTGTGTTCGTTCTGGTGCCTGTGCTGTCTCCAGCTTCTGCTCCCCACCCCAGTGGCGGAGGAAGCAGCATCCCAGTACCAGACTGAGCTCACAGGTTCTCTCTTTCTGTCATGGTATTAATAGCCAGGACCAGCAGCCAACAGCTGCTGATTACAGTCAGAGATGCAACCCTTGTGACTAGGCAGAGTACAGCCTTGGGCTGGTCTGGGCCAGTGCAAGTGTGAGTGCCCGGGAGTTAGGGGCAGTGGGGGATTCCTAGATTCTGGGAAGGACCTGGGGGAAGCTTCCTTAGGTGGGCAGACCATCCTTTGCCACTTCCTTTCCTCCTTTGCTTCAGGGACAGCAGGTCCCTTTTGTTAAGGAGTTTGAAGAGTGCTGCCTTAAAATATACAGGCCGCCAGGCATGGTGGCGCACATCTATAATCCCAGCACTCAGGGGGCTGAGGAAGGAGGATCGTTGTGAGTTCAAGACCAGCCTGGGCTACACAGTGAGCTCAAGGCCAGGGTGAACTGCATAGCAAGACCCTGTCTCAAAATGATAAAAAAACAAAACAAAACAAAGAAAACCATAGAGGCCAAGGCAGCTGCTGTGGGGAGGCTTCAAGGGGCAGGAGCATCATGAAGTCTGAACAGCACAGACCCCCTTCCAAGGCCTGGGTACTGCATACTGTGGTAGAAACAGGGATGATAACAACCATAAGAGCAATATAGGGACCATCTCCATGGCGTCAGAGGCACTAGAATTGCCTCCATCTCATAGTGAGGAATTTAAAGCTCAAAGAGGCTAAACCATTTCCCAAGGCACCCCAGTTAAGGAGCTGTCCCAGGGCTAGGACCCAGTATCAGCACTCTCTGCCCCGAGGTTAGTCTCTAATGGACCTACTCTTCCACCTTCTTGCACCTTCATGCCTCAGCCAATCAGGAATCAGGACTCTCCCACCAAATCTTTTCAGTTTCTTTATATTCAGAGGCCACCCCCCCAGAGGCTTCAAACATCTACCACTTCCAGGCACCCACGTGCCAAGTTTCCTACTCACCGATTTTGTACCCCAGTTGTGTAAGACACGGTCTCCAAGTGCTGGAAGTTTAATATTTCATTTCATTTTCAAGACAGGAGATATAGATTCTGTGGTTCTAGGATGCATTTATCTTTTTCATAGCAAACTGGAAGGAGTGAGTGTTTTTGAGTCAAGCCTTCTCTAATTTTATCCCACCTCTGTCACTCACCAGCTGTGCGACTCTGGCCAAGTATCTTATCCTCTCTGGCTTCAGATTTCTCATGTGTTGAGCAGGGATAATACTACCCATTTTATAGGGTTGACACTGAATGAGAATAGCATGTGTAAAGTACTCTCATGTAACATGTGCTTAATAAATGTTAATTAATCCATTGCATACTTTCCTCCAATCTTGTTTTGAAAATTTAGACCATTGTTTTTATTGTTTACTTTTATTTTCTTTAAAATAAAAAAATGTTAATTATTGTTTTAAAGTCTAAAAAAATAGGGGCATGAGTCATACAGCTGGTTTTGCTCTATTTTATCTACTTAACCAGTTGTGTGGCTTTAGGTTACTTACTTTTACCCCTGTGGGCCCCAGTTAAGGCCAAGATTGTCATACACAATAAATCAATATATACTTAGGCAAAAAATAAGTGCTAAGTATCTACTCTGTGTCGGGTACATTTCACTGCTCAACAAGAGCTAACGGGTGTGCGAGGTATTTCATTGTGGTTTTTCATTTTCTTGATGATCAGTGACGTTGAACACCTTTTCATACATCCGTGGGCCTAATATGTTTTCATTTTTGTTTGCATGTTTTCGGTCTATCTGGAAGTAAAGGAGGATTTCTGACCCCAATGATAAAATCCTTCCAGTTTCCAGGCCACAAGCATTTCCTACTTCAGCTGTGCCAACCCCGGCACACAGCTGTCACAGCCACATCTTGGTGGTGGTACAGAAGAGAGAGCTCCTGTGCTGAGCACCATTCCGCCCCATGCAAAGTTTATATACCAGCATGGAGGGTAGATGTGTTATCTCTGTGGTCATCACACCAGCTTTGCACGGTGCAGAAGGCAGATGAGGAAACTGAGGTTCAGAGATGAGAAAACAGAGATAGAAGGAGACTGGCTCTTCAAAGTCATCCGCACTGAAACAAATGCCTGGTGCGGCAAAACAAACACAGCTGCCTGCCTACCAAACCTCCGTTTGCTTCCCCTTTCCTTTCTGCCAGACCTTGGTCTCCTTAGCGTATCTGTCTTTTCAACTCGTAACTCCTTGAGCACGTCTCAGACAATAATGGTGCTTCAGTCCCTTGGCTTGAAGATTGGTGTAGCAATGGCTGATTCAGTGTGCATGCATGCGTGGTGTGTGTGTGTGTGTGTGTGTGTGTGTGTGTGTGTGTGTGTGTGGTGGGGGAATTCTTCATTTGAAAAATAGTCATAGCCAGATGTGGTGGTATAAACCTGTAATCCCAGCACTGGGAAGGCTGAGGCAGGAGGATGGTGAGTTCCAGGGCAGCCTGAGCTATGCAGTGAGACCTTGCCGTGTCTTAGTCTGATATGTCTATGTTAAAGAACTTTCGTCAAAACATTTCTGGCTTCTCTGGGCGTTCTTTACCCACTTCTCCCCATGAAAGGAAGTGAGAACTCTTTTTTTTGACAGTGAGTTCAGAGTAAAACTGAATATTCTTCCTCCAGACCCTCCCACCCCTGTTTGAGACATACCTGTCTGCTGTGAGGGTCCATTCTGAGCTACTTTTCATTTTGTGGAGACATCAGACACGGGAATCTTGGCTGATAAGGAGTAATACAAATTCATTTCAAGGGACGGTATCAGGAAGTTCCCTGCGGCTGTATATGTAAGTTATATTTCCTTTCTTTTTTCCTAGCAACCAAGCTGATATTGACATTCATGTACCTGACTCCTACATGTCATTGGTTTCAAAATCAAGAAGGGAAGTGAAAGACATTACTGACTAGACCCTGCAGCCCTAACTCCAATTACAAAATAAAAGCTGATTTGTCAATACAAGTGTTAAAATGAAGGTACTAATAATTACCTTTCATCACATCTGTTGGCCTACTGCTCTTCTATGATTATTTGCTATAGCTTGTGTGTGTGTGTGTGTGTGTGTGTGTGTGCGCATGTGTGTGTGTGTAGTGGTGGGATGAGGGGTAACGCCTGGTGCGATCTGGTGGTTTCAAAACTCAGAAAGGCCAAAGTCCTACAGATACGTTCAAAGAGCCTTAAGAGAGATGGGGTAAGGACTGGGTTTTGATTAAAGTCTCTGACTGTGTTAGTCAGTTTCCTTACACTGTGTAAGGAAAAACAACCTCAGATAATTGGCTTGTAATGGGAAAAGTTTTGTTTTTTTTTTTTCCCTTTTAGCTCATGGTTTTGAAGGTTTCAGTCCACAACTAACTGACTTTGTTGCTTTGGGATACTCAGAAGATCATGAGGGAGTGGTGGGAGAGGAGGGCTGTTCACCTCATGGCCAGGTGTGAAGGAGACAGAAATTGCCCAGCATTCAATCTTGCCCTTTGCAGGACACACCCCCGGGACCTAAAGACTCTCACTACGCCCCCTCAGCCCTGCCTAGTCTGTGGTGCTGGGGACCCAAGGCCTCCACATGCGAGGCAAGTGCTCTAGGACTGAGCTGCACTTCTCAGCTCCTAGGCCCCACCTCCTAAGTTCTCCACCTCCTCCAGACAGCAGCAAGTTGGAGACCAAGCCTTCAGCCTGGGGGTCTTTAGAGGATACTCGGTATCCACATTACGGCACCAGTGTGGGACTGAGGAGAGGTGTGAGTGAAGTAAGAGGATGTAAAATGATTTGATTTGATGAGTGATTGCAAATCGGGCTGCATTTGCCTGAAGGAAACATTTTGATTTTCAGCCACATGGTGTTGAGTCATCTTGGTCTAAAGGAACAGATCATGAGTATGAGTGTTAGCAGGAACTACAGCAGTGGTATGTTAGTACTAAAATGCTTTGAATGTACATTATTTTAGTTTTTAATTTGGTCTTCACCACAACTCCATGAATTAAGTATTATAGTAGCTTTGTTTTACTTTTGAGACTATTGAGGCTTAGAAAGATTAAATAATTGGCCAAGCATTGTGGTGCACACCTGTAATCCCAGCACTTGGGAGGCTGAGCCAGGAGGATCATTGTGAGTTTGAGACCAGCCTGGGCTACAAAGTGAGCTCAAGGCCAGCCTGAACTGCACAGCGAGAGCCTGTCTCAAAAAGTTAAAAAAGAGAGAGAGAGAGAGAGAGAGAGAGAGAGAGATTAAATGTCACAGAGCAAGGAAGTACCAAGCCTGGGTTTTAACTGAGTCTTAGGATTCTACTTTTAATACTAACTCCATATTACAAATAAACTGTTTATAACCATTCCCATTCCTAATCAATTTTCTGGGAAAATAATTCAGTGGATGCAAGGATTACATGCATAAAAATTTCTACTGTAGTATTTTATATCATTATGAGCTAAGGAAGCAACTTAAATGTACACCAACAGGAAAATGTTTTAATAAATTATGTTATATCCAATCAGTGTAGCGCTGGATGCAATTTAAAAGTGATAATTTTGGAACTTACAATAAAAACAAGCAAAGAGGATATAAGCTAAAATGAGAAAACCATGTGTATACTATGAAGGCATAGTGCAAAAAAGATACAAATCTACCCATGTGGAGTTAAAGGAAATAAGCAAAACAAAAAGAATAAATTTTAGTAATCACTGGGATCTTAGGTGAGGATCTTTTGGTTTTGTTTTATTGTTTTATTTCATTCTACTAAAGTTGTTTTCATCATTACAGAGGCTCTTGTCTAGAGCAGAACAGATCTGCTGGGGCATGGTAGAATCATGCTGCATGCTGTGTGTGTGTGCGTGTGTGTGCGTGTGTGTGTGTGTGTGTGTGTGTGGGTGTTTGTCTTTGTGTTCTGTGCGTACCAGCTAGCTCACTGGTGGGCATATGGCGGGGGTGAGGGCTGTCCTGGCGGAAATGCAGCTCAGTCTCATCTGACTTGCTGATATTCACCTAACCCTCGCGGAGGTTGAGTCAGCTTGGTTTCCTCCTCCCCTCCTGATGCTACCTCTCTTTCTAACTTGAAGCAAATAGTACAGACCTGGGTACAAGTTCTTACAAGCATCCTGCACAGGAGGAAATGTTGACTCTGACTCCACACAGCTCGGGTCCTTAAGATGCATGCAGCAGCGAGGGGTTCTGGAGCTTGACAAAGAGGTGGGTGATGGATCCCACAGAGGCATGGGCAGGGTGGAGGAGAGGTAAAGACATGCACACCTGTAGATAAGCTTATCTACAGGAAGTGAGATACAAATGAATAAAGGGCAGGAAGACAGAAGCAAGTGCTTGGGTGTGCGATGGTAAGAGGCTTGCTCAGACGGCTGGGACAGGAAAGGGCATTGCCACTAGACAGCACTGCCTGCTGTCCTCCATCCGCAGAGGCCCTCTGCATGGTGGAATGAATGAGGCTTCAGTGTAGACTGGGTTCTGTTGCTGGCTCCACGGCACTGCCTCCTGGCTGCGTGAGTGTATGCAGGTGACTGCACCGCTCTGATCCTCAGGTTCTTAGAGTCCAGCAGACATTTCTCCAGCACAGAATTAAGTGAGATGTCCTGATCTTGTGACAGTACTTCCATCAGTGTCTGTCTGATAGCATATGTGGTATGTTCCTGGCTCCCCACAGAGCTGCCCCTTCAGATGGGGTTCTCTGAAACCATCTACAGCTCCAATTTCACAACAAAGCGTTAACTGGTCCTCCACGTCCATCCCATGAGATAACTCCTTATCACTCTCCCTTCCTCTCCAGCAAGGGTCCAGAGAAGCCTGTCGTGGCTTTCCTTACAGAGAGTTGTGATAGGGGATATCTAAGAACTGCACCCCAGACCAACTGCTCAGCCTGAGGGTGCGTTTCCAGATTGCATGGAAGCACAGTCGAGAAGGGGACAAACCTGGGCGGAAGAAGTGGCAGGCAGCAGCAAGTCCCAAGGGGAAGAGAGTGAACTTAAACCCAAAGCGTGAGCTTTTATAGTATGTGGGTGGTGGGAAGGAACCACATCAAGAGATGGGAACGCAGGGAGAATGAAGAGGGAGAGAAATGAGAAATGAGGGCAGGGAAACACGGGAGAGAGAGACAATAGAAGTCAAAAAGGAGAAAGAGTGAAAGGTAAGAAAGAAGAACAATCCCTGAGAAATGAGTAAATTCCTCCGCATCCTGTGGAGAAAATCATCCCTCCTCACCCAGCCCAAGCCTATTATACACACATGGTGGTTTGTCGTCCCCCTGAAGTAGGACAGTTTCTCCATGAGATGGGACAATAGCAATGCCTTTGCTGGCCTGTTAGCTGTGGAGACACGTGACCCCCTGTCCTGTGTGTCCCACTGCCCTACAGTGCCAGGCCAGAAAGAAAGTGTTCTATCCATAAACAGGGGCAAGCACTGACCAGGACAGTACCGATCATCCTTGGCATAGCCTTACCTAGACCTGGAAAGGGAACTATGGGGCTTCTGAGAGGCCAGATTTGGATACAGTGAGGAGGACTAAACCAAATTCGTCTTTGTGGACTTCCCCTCCTGATTTTCCTGTGGGCTGAGTTCGCACCCCTGCACCACACTTGTTGGTGAAGAACAGTCTCCTAAACTCCTGGACCCAAAGGTAAAGGGTGAATAAGGTTCTCAAAGCTCAGAGGGCAGATTTGGAGGTATCAGAAGGTCCAGGAGGACATTCTCTAAAGGACACTACATGCTGGCCCTGGCTTCTGCTTCCCAGGCTGTGCCGCTCTGCCCACTTGGCTTTTTAGAGCCCCCTTCACTTTTCTCAATGTTGGTGCCATGGGCTGGCTGTGAGATTGAGAAAATGCTCCCTGCATTTCTCACAGAACTGAGGTGAGGGTGGGAGAGGCCTCTTCCTGGTTCTCCTGCAGGCAGAACCATAGCAGAGCCACCCGGCATGGTGGGAAGGTGACCTTCAGGACTGGATGTTCCCCAGGAAGTAAAGTCAGACACCCCACACACACACAGAGGAAATCTGTCTCTCTGTCTGTCTGTGAGTGTTCCTACACACCTGAATACATCCATTTTGTTTATTGCATCTTAATATATTTTAAAAATAAGATTATTTAGCTGGGTACATGCCTGTAATCTCAGCACTCTGGGAGTCTGAGGCAGGAGGATGATAAATTTGAGCCCATCTTGGGCAACTCAGTGATTTAGTGAGACCCTAACAACAAAAACAAAATGGACTGAGGAGGTAGCTCAGTGGGAAAGTCTTAGATTCAAACCCCTGCACTGAAAAAAAAAAGTAAGATTATTTTATTCAAGAAACTTAGAAGAGTAGTAAGTACACTTTTATACTACAGCTACAAGACCGAGTAATGAGAAAAGATTTCAAGTTACCAATCATGTAGTAATAGTATTATGGTTATGTTATTTCAAAGAGTTCTTATCTTTTAGAGATATATACTTAAATATCTGAAGATAAAACATATGATGTCTAGATTTGTTTCAAAATAATCCAGCAATGAGATATCAAATATTAATCATTACTGCTGCATTCCTTTTTGTAGAGCTTGAGGTCAAATCCATTCCTGACCCGCGTTAGACAAGTGCTCTACCATTGAGCCACGCCCCCAGACCTAGCATTATTTCTTTGTTCTACAGATAGGATGTATATTCTTAATCTGTCAATGAACTTTTTACCCATTAAGTTGTAAAGCCTCGAAATCTCTCTTAGCTCAGTGGTCAAAGCAATCATTTTAGGGCAAACTGTTAATTTTTAGGGCAAATCTCCTAAAGTCATTCTATTGCCATCAGCATAAAATTCATACTTCTGTGACTTGCAGTACTTACTCGCTGCTTAGATCTCAATTCCTGCTCTTTGCCTTCCTCTTCACCACAGATTTTCATCCCAATCCTTAATATTTGCTGTGTCTTTTCTCCCACTCTCGTATAAGGGCAGCTTTGGCTCAGATGTCTACCTTTTCAGACACGCTTTCCTTCAGCACCT